GAAGTGTCCAACACACGGGGGGGGGGTGGTGGTAACACCCCACAGGCTGAGGCAGCGAAGACCGCGTTGCGGAGAACTATCCCCTTCTCTAGATGCCTCCTAGACACTTTAATGGCATCTTATCCGAATCTGTTTCATAAGGGTCCGTTCATTGTCGCCTGTTAGTCTCATGCCTTGCATGCCCAGGAGCCGAATCCCCAATCTCCAGCTCGTCGGCACATATAGTACTACGAAGTGTCGAAGAACTCCGGCGGAAGAACGCCTTCCGGCTTCTTGGGGTCTGCGCTTGGGTCTCGCGGGTGCAAAGTGGGCCTGGGTGTCAAGACCCTTTAACTTGAGCATGTCTTGGCAATCGGCCTTGCCCCTCTACTCCCCATTCCTAACAAGCTCATCGAGGGATGCGGTCAGTCAACCTGCGGGAGCTATAGGCCAAGTTTTAAATCCCCTCTGGAAAATCCCTGTAGGTAGTGACTCACGCAAAACCAATTATGCTAGCCCATCATCCGGGCAGTGGCTGCCTGGCTTCGGTGTGCCACGGTTGTCTCCTGTCGAAACAAGAGGAGGAGGGCACTACCTCCTCCTTGATGTATGCATCTTCGGTAACTTGTAAGCCTTACCAGCCTTACCGGAGCGAGAGCTTGAGGGGCTGAGACCCCCTTCCCTGCCCGTCCTGCAGGATTTCGTGAACGGCACTGCGTGTAAGCTCCTCCCGCCAACAGCGGTATCATGACGTAATGACTGCAATCAGAAGGCCAGGCCGAGCACGGGGAAGAGGAAAACTAAAGGCCGGAGCCCAAACAAAGTCGGCTGCGAAGTCCTCTAAAGTGGCATCCTTGCTGTTCGGGCCGCCGACCTGCATGGATGTATCAAACAGTCGACGGTCGACGGTCCCTCAGAATTCCGGGCTTCAGGATAAAGACCTGCCCCGTTACACGCCTCATAGTGTTCGTCTTTCACTCGCGATGCCCCGAAGGCATAAAGTGGCCAAAGCTGACCAATATTTCGAAAGAGCTCATGCTGTCAACTGCCCAATCAACATGAACTCCGTCCAAGGGGCCAAGCAGGGCCACAGCAGCCGTCTGTCCAGAGCATGGCCGCAGTTCCGCGCGCAAGAGAGCCTTCACACTTTAGTGTCAGATTCAGAGCCGAGCGGCCGAGCCTATGCAGACAGCTGTTTATATGCCTACGGTGGTCTTCACCAAAGGAAACAACAGTGGCAAAAAGAACGGTACGGTGCTTATATCACCTGTGTCTAATACTGCTATGATAAAACAGCAAGAGTAATAATGATCATACTCACGCTAATACTCATGGTAGCATCTGCAGGGAAGCCCGGTATTGGCCAATTGCTCTGAGCTTCGGTTGGAGGTCCAATCGTCAGGCTTGCAGCCAAGGCGCATGGTGTTGCCCGTCAGGAGATTCTCCGGCATATCCTGCAACTTTTTCAGACAACGAAGCCGCACGTCGTGTGAGCTGTGCATATGCCAGTGCTTGATGATGAATCCAACCGAGGGGTAAAATATCTCAACTACACCGGCGCCAGAGCACAACAAAAACGCAACACAAAACCACAATGATAAACTTGCGAGGTCATGGCTCTAGGATTGCTTTGTCAGTTCTAATGCAGCTTAGCTTTCACATTAACGCGTATTCATGCCAGACCGCACATGAAGAGTGCTTCGAAAGTGTTCATTGCTCCGAGGCCTGCATGGGTGTTGCAGGAAATTCTCATCGCAACATGTTTTTTGAAACGTTTGGTGCGTGTTTATCAGGTATTTTCTGCCAATTCACCGCATTGGTTGCAAGGGCCAGTTGCTTTGCTGACTGGCGCATACTGATAGTGCTCACCCAGCAGAGGCTACTCTGGCATGCTCACACCACGCAGCAAACTCTGGATTCCTGAAGGAACGAGGCGTCGAATGCCAAAAAAGGGTTCGGGAAGCCGGCTACGTAACACTTCCTGCGCAAACTACCCAGTCATAACCCTTACACTGCGGACTCTCAAAGTCCAAACGAAGCAGCTTGCCTCAGCTACACCCCAAGCACTGCGACCTTGCTGGCCCTGGCAGTCCTCCCCCATCCGTATGTTCAGGCAGCGGAGCATGCATTGCGTTGTGCCCCCGAAAGCCAACAGGAAGACACAAATCACCACGAGGGTGCTGGTGATCAGAATCCTGGGTTCTTTGCAGGTCCCTTTTGTGCCATCAAGACACTGGATAAGCACTAGCGAGTTCCGAGGCAAAAGCTCAAGAAGTCTCAGCTGACATCGCAGGAGTTGCATACGCTTGCAATGTTCCATCGTCAAGCATCTCTTTGCTGCCCGGCCCTTCCGTCTCATCCACCCAATCCTTGGTTGCTTGAGCCCCACTGAAAACTGATGATTGCTTAGTGCTTTCGTGGTAGGCGACTAAGTACTGACTGTGTGCACGACAGGCTGTGTTAATGTTAGGAAAACGGCGCCAACACTAACACAGCAAAGCACCGCCAGTAACCCTGAAGCGCAGCCAAGATTCTCCCAGCTCCCAGCATAAGACCAAAGCAATTGCTCCTCCCCACAGATGGACTGACTTCACAGCCAGGGCTTCGGGTTTCTGCGAAACGTCTGATTCTGCACATTCCCTTGTGTCTAGCCGTCTCTGCGAGCATAACTTGCTCTGCAAACTAAAGGCAGCTGAAGCGGTCAGGCTGGTTCCCCACTTGTACTCGAGGAGGGACGGAGGGAGAGACGGAGAGAGAGAGGGACAACAACCGAACAAAAACTGGCTGGTCTGACGATGGTCTCTGCGAGGTAGCTCGAAAGTTTGATACGATTGAAGCGAGCCCAGGCGGCCCGTGGCAGCTCGCAAAGTGGTAAGAGCATTGCCATCCTGGAACAGACGAGATGATGTCCTCCGGCGCTGCTACAAAGTGAACTGGGCCCCGTACTTGGACGCCAAACCGCAAAGTCTATGACGCTATGATTCCGAATCATCCTTACTCGATGCAAAGTGTTATATCCGAAATCTCTCCCTCCCGAAGGCACCTCGCAGACCCGCATGCCACATCATAAAGAGATGCTTCCAGGATAGGAGGAACCAGTCTGCCCGGGGGGCCTTCGATGTGTGCACGGGTTCGGTGGGGACGGCTTTCGGGTTGTTCTCTTGTGCAGTCTTAGAAGGACATGCTCGCGTTCTACATGCTCCATTCTGAATCAGATGATCCTCGCAGGCCCAAGCTCCCCTCACGATGGCACTGATCCGCACGACTCCCGGTAGACCACCCTTGCCTTGTTGTGTCGTCCGATGGCCGTCTTCGCAGCGTTAACGATGCCCCCACAAGGTAGTACAGCAGCAACGCGACCTCCAGGGACAGAGGATTCAAGCTCAACTCCTCAACGGCACTGGCTGTCCTAGATCGGATGCCGCCAGGGTGCAACGTGTCAGATTGAAGCTTCAGGATTTGGGGTCTGCCACCTCCTGCTACCCCTTCCTGCCGAAAAGACTACATTGACTACATGCAAGTCCTACACCCCGGAACGGTAAAACATGGCAAGATGTATCCAGAAATCTGCCCGGCCGATGATGCAGAAGAGCATGACCCAAAGGCTGAACCTGGAATGGAGAATGCTTTGCAGGCAGAGGGGTTTAGTGGTACGTAATCGGGGTCAAGTAGGTATAGGGTCAAAAGCTAGATATCCCACCCAGCCGTACTTCTTTCCCTTATGCACCACCGCTACTCTAACCTCTAACCGAGCTCCCCACACGTTCTGAGGCCACTTCCGGCTTTAGCGGCAGCAGGCAAGCTTCTTGGGCTCTGGGGTCTGGGGGAGTGAGTGCTATGTATAGGTCCTCCAAGGCTTCGTAGATCTTTTCAGTGTGTTTATTAAGCCATTTCGAAAACTCAATACACCAAACCGAATGTTTCACCTCCTTGCTGCACATCGTAATTGAGCTACCTTTTCGAACCTTGCTGCAAACGAGTCTTGTCAATCCGATGCCCGGGTGGCTCTGTGGAGGCTTCATTAACCTCACGACCTTCATTCATGAACCCTCTGAGAGCGCTGACACCCAAGTTCAACCTGGAGTTGAGTTGCAGATCCTAACCCACAGTCTGAGCCCAAGACCACAAACCCTATCGAACGTCTTTGCAAACCTCAAAACCAGGCAATGAAATCTAACCAGCACCTTGCAACAACCCAGCTCAACCAGACCCACAGCTCCTACAGGTCCTACAGCCCTACAAAACGTTGACACCCTTCCAACACCCCTCATCAGGACCAGGATGCTTCCAACTGGCGCGCTCCCCACAAACGGCCACTGCCCCGACACCCACGATCAGGAACCTGATGCTCCCTCTACCATAGAGCAGAAGCAGTAAACCCATGTAATTATGCATATTACTATATACAGATAGCACACGCATGAACATGCATGTCTCTGCGTACATACATATGTACATGCAAACATAAGGACAAAAGGAGGGGATATACAGAAGAGGCGCGGGTTTGGAGCCTTCGACGCCTGTGCGGAGGGCCTGTTCGAGGGAGGGGGACTAAACTCCGAAGCTCGACACCAGCCGATCCACAAGGGGGAGGGCGGATGATCACACGCACAACCGTTGGAAGAATTGGCCTGAATCAAACCACATCAAACCACCCAACCATTCCACAAGCAAGCTCAAGGCCCAATCCGTTCCACAGCAAGGGAGGGGGGGATGGGGGCCCGACGGGGCGCTACCAGAAATGATGCAGGGCTGCCACACCCCCCNNGGGGGGGGGGGGGGGGGGGTGCCGGGGCGCAACCGTTTTTACGTAGTCGTACATAATCATACATACGCGGGCCCGACAAACTGGGGAGCAAATACAAACACTCTTGCAGTCAGGCAGATAGACGGTAAATCAAACAGGACTGCAGGCAGGAATACAAATCGACTCGGTAGATCCACGTATGCATTCGTCCAACCCCTCTGCGTCCTTTATGCACAGATCGACTTGGTCAATTCACTTGCCTCATTGAAGCATGCGCAGTCATATAAAATTCAAGCGAAGCTGAGATTCTCCGGTTCAACACTCCGGAAAGCTAGACAGCCAGAATGCCCAACACACAGCGCTGGGCCAGGGGCGTGAAGGTGTCTGCCAGAGTGGCCATGCCTGCCAGCAACAGGATGCAACAGGGTCCCGCTTCGGGCTTAGGGCAATTTCGCACACGCACCCCTATCAGAAGCGGATGCAGCAAGAAACGGCTTCCAAGTCTCGTACGGTTAAATATCAGGTCTCAAGCAGAAACAGGTTGGAAAGGGGACGAATGCTCATGCTGCACGAATGTCTTGGTGGTGGGTGCGGAAATTTTAAGTAGATCACACTGGCGGCAAAATAGAAAGTTATTAAAACACGAACGATAAACGCTCACGATTGCTTTCCTGCTTCGTTCACGCAACACCTTTCGATTTGCTTGGTTTCCGACGAATAAAGGAAATATGCGGCAGTGAGTAGAATCCACATGTTGAAGCTTTCATAATATGCTTGCGCCTGCTCAATTGGGTGGTCCAAGAACAACGACTTGTTGCGTATAGATTTCAGTTTTAACACGCCAGACATGGAAGGAGTGTATGAACTAAGAGTTGAAAGGATAGGGCAAGGCTGGGATTATATGAAATTATATGGGATCATGTTTGTCCCACTCGTCTCTTGATCGAAGCTGATTGCAGTCGAACGAACAAATCATTAGGCTGTTCGCCGGATGGCCCGTCATGAAAATTGGGATGTCTTCATGAATCAACGGACGAGGCAGACCCGTGGGAAGGAACCAGGTAGCAGAACGACAGCTGACATTCGTGTTTAATGATGTGACCAAAAGCCATAATGAACCATGGGCTCGTCAACTATTGAAATGCGCGTTCAGCTCCATGTTTGAAAGGATGGACATGTTGCCACATTACACCTAACAAGCATACCAACGACACACGAGCAAGGAATGAGATGCAGGCACTCTCATTCCTACCTAGCCTCAAAGTAATCGTTTATCTCTTGCCTCTCTGCACCTGGGATCGTATTGCTTACAAACGGGAGTCTCGTCTGGCCGCTGTATTTACCAGTACTAAAGATGTGGCAATCCAACCGGATGCGAACTTGGAGCCTTTGACGAAGAATGTAGCCAAGAGGTTGCCCTCATCTGAAAGGTGCGGCTTCCTCAGCATGTTTGTGGGACGAGCGATTAGCAGGATTTGGGCTCGCGGCTTCAGGGCCCATCCTCTCCTCCTACCAGGCCTGTATGCATTGCAGCCCACAGCAGGACCGGAGCATGCCCATGATTTTTGCATGTGCTTGGCGGCCGAGTCTCGCATAGATGCCCATGAGCATGGAACCGAAGAGTGTGGCGATGATCCCAGAGGAGTGTAGCTTCTCAGCCACAGCGTAGATCACGTAAGCCGATGCCATAATGTATAGGATCTCCATAAGTTGCGAGTGCTTTAAGCTGGCCTTAGGCAAGTTGCACACAACGGAGACCTTTTTTACCAGCATGTAGGGAAGGAAAGCAGTTGGCTGGAGTGCGAGAATCAATGCACAGCTGATCTCCCTGTCAACACAAGAACTCCCTGGCCGTGGCTCGAATCGTAGCCCCAAAATCAGGACCATCGCTGCCGCCACGCCGAGGCCAATGGAGTAGGCTAACTTCTGAAAGATTCCCGCCGTCACTGCCTTGGTACCAGGTGCCTAAACTATGAAGACGAAACTGAAACAAAACAAACCTACAAGCTTTCACCAACCTCCGTCATATCTCAGCTCAGGGGCCAGCGAGATGTCCTTTTGGGAGACCGGGTTGCAGGGGTCGCCGAAAATTTTGTCACTGTTCAGAATTTCGAAGATAACGATGGCAACAGCATCGTTGATCATCGACCTGCAGGAATGCATTACAGCATTAGCACACGGAGTGTGCTGCCTAACAGCTCATGGGAAAGAGACGAAGTACGAAGGTGGAGAATGATCGACCCCGGTTGCAACCAACAACGCAATGCGTGCTTGAACGACTGCCTCGACGCAATTTTGTTGCTGCCGGTTTTCCGTAAAGCCTTTATGACGCTTGGTCCAACCCACACAGAAGAGCGATCCCAAAGCAGCTACTGATGATTCTGACTATGACCTCCTGGAAGACGCAGGTGATTTGAAGTTTCCCGCCCCCCAGTCTGGTATTCGACGCTTTAATTTTGACCCCAAGCCACATCCTGAGAAACTTCAATTTTGCCACTATACTTTGCAAAAATGTAGACATTTCAACGGCTTCCAAGTTGCTCGCCGAAAACCATGACGTTCAGCACCTCCATTATCAAGAAAGTTACTAGACCATGGCACTACAGTAACACAGTGTCCATCATCACGGGGCAGGCAGACAGTCGGCTGCTTGTCTCCGGCTGCGACACCAATTCGCTAAGATGTCCAATCAGTCTCAGCCTTTACCAGCACCCTCTGCTAAACCCTGAACCGGAAAGTTTTGGTTCTAGGATCAAGTTGAGGTGTAGGGTCCTTCAAATCTCGCTGCATGAAGCACCACAGCCACAGGCACTGGTTCGACTTTCAAGCTCGCGTAGGTGGCCAAGGTCGCGACGGGGTCGGTGGCTGCAATCCTTTGGCGACGACTCTTGGTTTCAGGCAGTTTAGAACTGCCTGGTTCGATCCAATGCGCGACTAAAAAACACCAGGAAGAACAACTCCTGAGAACTTCTCGACGCTTCGAAGGAAGAACCGGAGCTCGAAAACCCTTCAGCCCCAAACCTGTACACAGCACCTCGGAAGCCTATAGGATACGAACTGTAGAAGTCCCAGCTTCAACGAGCCGTAGGCAAAGGCAGTACGGCGGTGGTGTATAGAGTGATAGTCACTGGTGAGCAGAATGAGCTCACCCACTACCAGCATGGAGATCACGGAGCCTGTCCACGGCTCTGGTGCCGAAACGTGGTGCAAGACATATGTAGATGCCTGTCTGCCTGTCTCGCTCTACACTTGACACAGGTGTTTTTGGCAAGTTGACTTGCTCGAATGTTCTAGATGGTTCACAGTTTGATTCGCTCTCTGGTGCCTAAGATGGCGAAGACGAGGATGTAGCCCAATTGTGATGCGAAATCTTTCCATCGCAGGGTCCAGCCAGACTCGAATATAATGATCCTTGGACGCTTCATGGCGCTTCGGCCGATAAACTCGGGTTTAAAGGCCCTTGCAGCAGCAAGCACACAAACACACATCATCCACAGAAGAAAAATGAACAAATGTACCATGGGTCTTGCTTGCGAACTTCGGACCAGCTGCAATTGCTCAAACCTAACTCGTGCACAAAACCGGCTAGCACGCTAGGTCTAAAGCCGTGGAGTGCATGTCAGGATTCGGCAAGAAGGCGAACTTCACAGCTGGAGGTCCAATCACCGGAATCACTGCCCTTGAGGAAGGCGGCTTTTGGGCTCCTAAAGACCTTCTGATACGGAGTGAAGATTCCTGCAAGTGTCTGTTTTCGCAAAATCTTCTGGTTTTGACACGCTCAAACTTATGAAGTATTGAGGCAACAGGGGGTCGGATCCGAAAGCTCTAAAACATGGCAGGACAAAGATTACTCACGTGTGCCCATCCCTCCCACAGAAACCCCTAGCCTGACTGGCAATTTTCCGATGCCTTTTTACTCTTCGGAATCCCGAGCTACTAGTACTTGAGGTTGAGCGCATATATCCTTCGGACATGGAGGGCACAAGTGGGGCTGCATATAGATATCCTCAAAGCCGGATACACGTCAGTTACTTAAAGCTTGAAGCCCACTGACAGTTGACTTGAGCGGTACCAAGTCCTCATGCCGATCCCACAATCACAATGACCCTCCACCAAAACCGGATCACTTACACAAACAAGACTGAAGCACGAGCTGCTAATTGACAGTGCATTTCGGGTGCGAAACTGCGAAACTTTAATCTTCAACAACCTTTCATACACAGGTACATCGTAAAATACCCCTACGTAGTGTATTCGTGCTAGGTACTGTACTCCAACATCTTGTTTGATTTGAGTCGTTCAGGTGTAGCAAGCATCGGCTCTGCAAACAAACCCGAAAAACTTGGCGACAAAAGAAGCCGCGCAGAGACCATACGCTCAACTGCCATCGGACAACTCTGCTCCAATCTGCTCCATCTGTCGATGGGACTACACTGTCGGCAAAGCGGGTCAGAAAGCAGTACATAGTCTGCACTCCAACAATAGAACCTCGGTAGCTGAAGCAAAGAAGCGGAATCTGTTTTCTTCTCATGCTCTGCTGCTCTCCTGCATGTCTAAGTCTAACTTGCACGCTAAACCGGCGACATGATGATGCCGCGGGGGAACATGGGTGTACAGTGTAGAGCGGCCAAGCTCTCGACATCAGTGCCACATGCAAATGTGCACTGACGATGTGTAGCACAGAACAGTCTCGATGCCAAACGAACAATGAACAATGGCAACAACAATCAAGCGTAGACAGAAGGTCGAGAGAGACTGGACGTGCCGTCGGCTACGGATCACATTCCTGGCAAGCGCGCTGCGGCCTTGCTCCATTTTATGAGACGTCTGAAGTCCTGCCATTGGAAAGGCAGCTAGACAATGGAGCCAATCAGCTAAGGTACAGGCGACTGCTAGAAGCTGGCTTTGCTGCTTCTTCAAAAAAGAAGCAAAGCCACCTTCTAGCAGTCGCCTCGAGTCTGGAGATGCCAACAGACAGCATGCTCTGTTACAACAGCGCCTTTAATCTTCCGGGGCCGCTGCACGCGCGGATGCACTGCGGGATCGAAAGCGGCAGCTTGAGAAGTCCACAAAGCCCCAACACACGGACGGCATCGGCTCCCACAAAAGAAGCAAGGTTGGCACCGCCCGACCTTACACGGACAACACCGCTGTATATGTGCCGAATGCAAAGAAGAAGCTGCCCAGGGAGAGCACCAGCAAACAGAGCTGGGTCTCAGCCGTGCACCAGCAGAAGCTCGGATTGCCGCGTCGGACCTGGAGGAGCCAAATGGGTGGCACGATGAGGGCAATGTAGCTGCAAAGGACCCCACAAACTGAAGCACCGTCCTCAGGTCTTTGACGACCACAGTACTGAAACTTATCACAGCCATGCTGAAGAGAGCGAAGAAGATGTCGAAACACCTGGTCACCGTTTTGCCCCAAGTGACCTTGTTCTCCTCCTCGGTACTGGCGTCACGCTTGCGGTCGCACCAGATAAGCAGCGAACTGACGCACCGGATGGACATGGAACTGGGAGCATGTGAGCAGGCTGAAGATCAGGCCCAGCATGGTCAGCAACACAAACGGGTTGCTTCCAACGGGCTTCAAGGAGTTCACCAGGGACTCTTTCTGGTGATCTCCAGCACCCCGAACACGGACGTGAGGATGTGAACCGCAAAACACATGACAAGGCAAATGACGGCCGCCGTGTTCATGCGCATGGTCGTTTGTGGCTTCAGCTCGCCAGTAAGTTGTGGCACATTGAACTGGTTGTAGGCGAAGACGACATGGTTAATGCTTGACATGTAAGTAAAGGCCGTGGCCGTGGAAGAGGGGTGACAATGGTTTAATCTGCTCCGTGCTCGGCATAGTACCACATGACGCAAGCGACCAAGATGAGAAGAGCAGCGATGCTCCCTGCGGCTAACATGCCTGGCAATGGCCTGCGGAGCGCAGACCAAGACGCCCGTGAGCACAACAAACAGCTTACAGTGAGGCTCTGATGCACCAGTGACCACGCCAAAGAGTTGGCCGCAGTAGCCAATGGCAGAACTGGCAGAACCAATGCAGGCCAGAGTGCTTCTGAACAAGGTGAAAAGCCATCACAGGGTGGAGCAATTCATCGCACAAGTCCTCGCAGCTGTAGCAGCCTGTTGCGATGCAGGCCGTAGCGCTACAGCAAATGCTGACCATGGTACGTAAGAGCGGTTCCTCCGATCGTTGCGCGCTTGGAAAACGATGCCCACTTCCGCCGCGTTGCCTGCCATGGTCAAAAGTCCTGCGCCAATAGCAGACTTGGCACTGTCAGGCAAACGGCTGTGGACAGGACGGCTCCACGGCTGAACGTGGAACGGCGTCGGTCACCAGACTTCTCCGAGTCCGTAGAGAAGTTGACGCTTACGACGCACGTCGAGATATCGCTCTCCACCTCCGAGCTGTCCTTGAGCTCCTGCATCCGGTCTTCGACCTGTACAGTGCACATGCTGTCGGAAACCTCGGGCTGAGACTGATGGCGGTGAGCTGGGCTCCTGCTGGGCTATGCTGGGCTGGTGGCTTGAGCCGTCGCCATCACGTTCGATCATGTGCTACTCTATGCCGCGCCATGATATGGCAGCTCTTGGCTGAGGCTGCCTCCAAATTCAAGAAGATGGTTTTTTGATGAGGAGAACTTCAGGAACGGTTGGGCCATCCATGCACTCTTCAACTTCCGTTGTCATCTGGAAAGACCCCGCCATTTCCCGCGATTCTCGGCCAGCGGCCCAGTCCCGAAGCCGGCTTCCCCGAAGTGGCACATGAAGATGCCACCTAGGCCCAGGCCTCGGTGACTTCGAAGGATCTCGGGATTTATGGCTTCGAAGGACACCGTGGGCGCTGACAGTGTTGAATTTTGGCTTCGCGATGGTTCTGATACTACCACTACGACTAGAGCTACTTCAGAATTACAATCTGCACGACTAGCCTGCTATTGCAACATCATCAATAGCACCAGCTGCTGTGCTTCAAACCGGCGCCGCGACTATGGCAACGATTGCTGCTTTTCGTACAGCTGCCAGTCAGGACTCGCGGGAGGGGTAAAGTGGAGCACGCTCAGCTACTCTACGACTCTACGAACATTTGCGAGTTCACCTTGTCGCGGGCCAAGAAACCAACAAGAATCACGACTGCGGACTCTGGGAGGAAGGTGATGTTGAAGGACTCCATGGAGGAGGACAGCATCAAACATAACCTCAAACACTTGCACGTGTGTCTCAGCTCTTCTCGAAAAACGCATCATATAAAACCCAGCGGTGTGCTGTGCGCCCTGCCCGAGTAGTGACATTCGGCCAGTTCTAAACACTCACACTCGGCCGAAGCCTTTAAGGTTTTGGATTTGCCACTGCAACCAGGAACACGAAGCACACCGAGATGGGAAGCATGGCCTGGACAGCCACGTTGCCTTCATGCTCGGCTACGTTCCTCGGCTCGCACGATCCGTGAAAAGGCGTGAAAGCATGTTTGCGTATGCAAGCTGCATGCCACAGCACATGGGGCAAGGCAGGGGTGAGGTAACGATCTTTGTGCGTGCATTGCAAAAAGCAAGAACTAACCATGAACGTCTCGTCCCCGACATTGATAGACCCCCTACTAACAGTCGCTTCTAAGCCTTCTTTCTGGGTACGAACGACTGACTTGCACCGCTAGGCAGGTGTTTCTGCTGTGATCAAACGTCAGCGACAGGTGCTGCTTCTTGAAAAGTATCTGGTAGTCTGCAATTGCGAGCAATCTTTGCGAAGGCGACAAGATGATCACAGTTTGTATCCCAAAGCCCTACAAAATATGGGTTATGACCCCTTAAACATAGGGTATAACACCCTAAAGTTATGACCCTGAAACAAAAGGGATGTTGATCCCAGGTATCATGAGAGCCTTGATACGATAAAGATGCCTGCGAGACCTTGCACCGAGGCTCGTAGCACTCGTGCTGTTGCACAGAGCAGGCACGGCCTCCCGGTTCTCTTTCGCGGGAGAAAGAGCATCGAGGCAAGCTCTGTGGGGCTCTTATGATTTTAATTTCTAGCACGGTATAGTGTAGTCACCAACCTGGTAGTGTCAAGCTGTTCTTAGTCTTCGTTTCGGCAGTTCCGGCAGGTTCGATGACTCCTAATCCCATCCAAGGAGCCCAACCCAAACCCGAAAGCATCCAGAACTTGGAACCCGGAGGCTCCATCAAGCTCCGAAGCTCACAAAGCTGCTTAAAGCCCCAGATCCCAAAGCCGGCCCTTAGTTCCACGAAATACCGCACCCAGAAACTACACCGCTAGACCCACATGTATCTTTCTCGTGAAGACCAAAGAGTCTGTACATCCCGCAAGAAAGCTGCATGTTCAACATGGTGAGCCATAAAAACCGCAAAGCGACTTCGAAACCTGCGCAGAGGCTTGGCCGAAAAGTAGCGCTGAGGCCAGGAGCCAACACCTGTCCGTAAGGTTCTAGGGCTCATGGCATCACCCAATCAGGGTTAGTGGCCAAAGCCCTCTGCGTTTTTATCTTTCGAATGACCTGCACCACATCTCATACCTGCGATGAGCAGAATAGTATTGCTCTGACTCCTGTGGCCAGAGCTAGCTTAAGCATAAACATGTCACTTGAGAGTTGAAGAGTCTTGCTCGCTTTTGGCAAGTGCTGCCACAGTCGCCAGAATGTCGAGCTGCGGCTGGCAGGTGCCGCCATGGTATATGGGGCTGTGACAAGACTTGACCGATTTCGTTGTAACTCCTTCCAAGACTACTTGCTGAGGGGCTGTGCATCGGTTCAAGGTATCGGGGAGGGGGGGCAACTGACCGCTTGCTTGCGTTGGCTTCGAATTCAGGCTTCCTGGGTTCAGGAGACGAGTCGGGTCGAGTGCCTGATGGATCTGGCCCTTTATAGCCCGTTGAACTGCTCGAGCCCAAATGGCTCCGGCGAACGGGCACATGCCCTCGTGCTTGTATAGGATAGGGATAGATTCTCTCTCTCTCTCTCTCTCTCTCCCTGTCCCTCAGGGCTAGTGTTCTGAAGGGGTACTCATAAACCTGCGATGGAAGCCGCGGCTGGGAGCGGCAGGGGAACATTCGCCCACCCTGCGAGTCCCCCTAACCGAAGAAAAATCCGATTAAGATCTGCGCCACTTTTGAAGCGCCCGAACTACCGGTAAGACGTGCTGCTGCGTCCATACAAGAGTTGTGCAAACTCCAATCTCCGGTCCCAAACCGTATTCCTGACTGTAGCCAAGGGACTCTTTGAGGCGAGGATGCAGCTTTCGCACGCATTTCACGGCCTGGCCCTCTGCATCATCTACCAGCTGCGCCTCGGCTTGCGCAAGAATGTCTGGAGACTTTTCAACATCTGCCTCTTCAAAACAAGCTGACAAGCGCCGCCTTTCAAAGCCTTAAGATTCGCTCCAAGGGGCAGCTGGCGACTTGAGGAAACTGGGGGCAAAGTCGGCCTGGAGCGCCAAGTGAAGCCTCCGCTGTTTAGACTCGGTGTGGAAATTCCTTTGGGCCGCGGCGATAGCTGGCGGAAATGAGAATGTATGTCTTTCTTGTTGCATGCTCTTTCAAGGCCTGTAGGGCTTGTGGCCAGGATTCACTGCACGTGTAGACTGCCGTGTTCCGCTCTGACCTCAAGATGCAAGACGCTCAGCTTTGCTAGTAGGACTTCCGCACTGATGCTTTGATTTCAGAGCTCTCATTTGCGATGATGCCCGGCCATTCAAGTCCGAAGGCAGGATAAGCGTGAAGTAGAATAGAGTGTGTGGGGACATGGGGTTCGACGCACCAGACTTGTCGGGTATCTCTGGCAAGGCGCTCAAATGAACTGTTCTTCAACACATCCTAAACTGTTGAACGGACAGTAGTCGTGGCAACCACAAGCTTAAAGAAAACAGCCCAGGCCGGAGCCCCATCAACTTCATCTCCACAGTGACCAAAATGATGACAGTTCTAGCGGTGACTCCTTCACCCCTTCCAAATAAAGCTCTGCTCCATGACCTGCATGGTCATAAAACAAAAATCGACAACTACCTCTGCATGACTTTGTAGCTTCCCTGGACTTCGAAAGCCTCAGGCCTGGCAGTGGCTCGCATCATACAGTCAGAGGCATTGAGCTGAGCCAAGGCCTGGACGAGAAGCCCCCCGGCATCCCACCGAACACAGTCACCCGTAAGAATGAAGAATGAATGAACGTCTGCATGCATGCAACTGTGCATGTGCGCGAGTGTGCGTGTGTATGTATGCATGTATTTACTGTTTATATTACAGCTCAATGCCGAATCTTTGTAAGCATCTGCCTGTCCATGGCTTTGTCTTTGTCTATCTACCTACCTATCTATCTATCTATCTATCTTACTTGCTGCAGGTAAATGACAGAGGCACTCTTTCCTCCCCCGAAGGAGATATCTATCTGTCTCTACCTTTCTACCTATCTGTCTGTCTATCTCTATCTATATGTATCTACGTGCTACCTACATGCTTATGCGCCATCTAACTACCTGGCTGCCTACCCACCTACCTACCGACCTAGCTAGCTAGCCAGCGAGCTACCTACCTGCCTACCTAGCCACCTGTCCGCCTATGTAACCACCTACAGTATCTATCAATCATACCTATGTCTACCTATCTATCTACCTACCCATCTATCCACATGTGGCTTTATACATAAGATATGAACAGATGGTCAACTTCTGTTATAAAGGGACGAAGCTAGACATTGAAACCCTCGCGCCATCACGGGCGAGAGCGCAGCATCCTTGGCCAGGCTGGCATAGTACGGGTCGGCTGTGGGCGACGTGACACCTGGGCCCGGGGCTCGCGAAGGCAGTGCAGTTGCTGATGTACTCATGTTGGGAACCACAGGCGTGCATGGACTGTGCACACCAAGCCGCAGGACATGGGGTTAGCTTTTGGAGGTTGCATCTTTCCTCTGAACTCACTCCATGTCATCCTGATGGGACATATTTATGCTTGTGCTTTTCGTTTCATGTCGTGGTTGCTCAGTGCAGCGGAGGACGCAAGCCATCATGTACGCAAAATTGGCTAGAGTCCGGGAGAGATGGTCGCGGGAAAAAGCAGGCGGTTTGAAAAATGGTCCTGCACCATGCGCTTGTGAACTCGGTTTGATTCGGATTGCATTTTTTGTCTCATGCTCCAGCCGTGCTTGTTCCGAAACGGTACTGTTTGTTGTATGCCTAAACTATCTGTAGAGACCGACACAAGAACCTACACCCGTGGAAGCCGCTTGACTATTTCTTGCTGTCATGAAAAGCACGACACACGGCATGTCATATGATTAAACAATTGTTCCCTCTCGCAGGAGTAAACAATAGTCCTCGGAACTCCACATACTAGTACGCTGCACCATCCGCCGTCCCTCGACATGGGACCCCAGAATCAAAAGAAACAACCTAGCGCTGGAAGTTCTTCCCAACCAAAGTCTTGTCTGATGTAAGAAGTGCGCCCTGAATCAGAAGCAACAAAACAGTCTCTATCCGTTTCTGATGTTCGCAACACCTGGCCATGCCACGCATCTCCCGAACACGGTTCAGGATCCCAAAGACGGGCCATTCACTCCTAGGGCCAGAGAAAGGGTGACTGCAGCACAATGATCCACGGACGTGGTTTGTAGTCATCAATGCCCTGAACACACCGAAAGAGCCGGCATCATTCTAACCGCCACAACAGCATGCAAGTTCAGCATTGTTGTAACATGTTGTAACCGAGTAATACCGTTCTGGAACAGCACTACAACCAATACTGATGACTCCTTTTTTCTTGTTCTGGATCGCATGTGTGGTAGTTCACATACCTACATTCCAGCTCGAGATCATGACGGGTACTACTAGCATGAGTTACGTTATGGTTACGGGTTTCCATGTGCTCGGTGTCGTGCCTCCAACTTTCTGCCGAGGCTCGCAAGCAGATTGCTCCATTCGGCGCCTGCGTGGCTCATCGCCCGGGCCTTGAGTTGAAAGATCGCGCTCACGGAGCCCCGAGGACAGGTTGATAGTCCCAGGGCCATGAACCAAAGGGGAGAGACCAAAAACCCAGTTGCAGTTATCACATAAGCTCCCAAGCGGCTTCAGCCACCCGGACTGAGGACTTAAGAGCTGGGGCTAGGTAGGGCCCCTTCCTTAACGGCCCATCAACCCTGAAGTAAAGCGGTGTACGCATGCAAAAGAACAAACAAAAAACATACATACATACGTCTGTCTGTATGTATGTATGTATATATATATATATATATTTCTATACATATGACGCGAACAACTAGACATGAAGAAGGGAGTATACAAAGCTACTCATAAATGCAAACATTTGGTAATGTAAATGTATATTCTTGAATATTATATGTTCGTACTTGTTATGTATATATATATATATATCTGTACGATTTACAGTTAGGGGCTGAGCACCCTAGCCCAACAAAGGTTAACCTTTCCAATTATAGTAGGATCATATAAGCCCGAAAAGGTTAAAGGCTACCTACTCAGCTACTAAGTACATATAATCTATATCTCATATATATATATATACAAAAAATGTACATACAATGCATATACAATATATATATATACATACATACGTACATCCATAGTTTACCGTGTATAATGATAGCAGAGATGCCGTTAACCCCACCATGAATAGCAGAAGCTAGAAGAACCACACACCATGTCTAGATTCACAATCTATGAGGACGATGGCGATTGAAAAACATCGAGACCCACTTAGACCCCCATGGAAGCACCTGGGAACTCGCAGGAAAGCACTGCTTCGCCAGAGTCTGCACTACGTTGAGCCCCAGTGCTAATGATTCACATGCCAAGGCTGGTGGGGTTTTCGTCAGGAGACTTCCACCCCAACCATGCGCAACCCAGAAACAGCACGAGATCGTGACCGAAAATGTTGGTTCACTCACCATCGATTTTGCTTTCACCGGAATGCCCTTGAGGTTGCAATCCTAAAGCTTTACCATCATGTCCCGTCTGGGTGTCAAGGCAATCGGGGTCATCTCATGTACCAGGACTTGGATCTTCAGGTCAAGGTTTTCCTGAGCGTGGACGGCCACTTTTTGCTTCTCGCACGCTGAAGACCGCGGTTGAAGAGGACGAGCAGTTGATACTAGTCCTGCCATTCTTGCTGCTATTGCTGCTGTTATTATGTTTTGTTGCTGCCGTCACAACTAGTTGTACTTCTGATTCCCGCGATGCAGTGTGCCGCCATTTTCTGGGTGGCTTCTGGCTGCCTTCAGTGCTTGAGATTTCAGACACTATACTTAGCATCTCAATGCCAAGTGCCACAAGGATCAACACACTTATGGTGACAAGTCAGAGTTGAAGCAGTAGTGAGACTCACGCTAGTATCGCGACAACTGCAACATCGATTGCCAATGGCAAGAGCCAAACAAGAATACAACACAATGTGATAGCAACAGCAACCGTACACGAGCAAGCACACCCAGTCGCGTCAAATGTGTAGTAGCAGTGATAGTCGTAGGAGAAGTATCAGCAGCAGCAGCGGCGGCAGCAACTGCAGCTGTAGAAGTAGCAGTAACGATAGCAGCAGCAGCAGCAGCAGCAGCAGCAGCAGCAGCAACAGCAGCTGTAAAAGAAGAAGTAGTAGTAGTAGCAGGCGTAGAAACACTTGTACAGGAGTAGGAGTAGGAGCAGTTGTAAGAAGTAGCTTTTTTGTCACCCACTTCCTCTGAACATTAGTAGTAGTAGCAGTAGCAG